GACCTTCGTCGGCCGTTTGTTGTTGCTTCACCTCGTCCTGTTGCCTGCCGGCCAGCGCCTGCCGCCTTGCCCTTGTCCCCGCGCGCCTTCGGTGTTTTTCCCCCCCCCCCCCCCCCCCCCCTATTCCGGGCTAACATCTCCTCCACTTGCAGGGTCGAGCGCGTGGACCGCAAGCGTCTGGAGGATGAGTATGACTCTCTGATTCGGGGTACGCTGGGCTGTTGAGAAAATATGCCCGTTCGCCCCTTTTTCTGTCGGCTCTTCCCCTTCTCCCTCTCTGACCGTTCGCCCTCTCCCCTCCTCCTCCGCCCATTCCTTGCCTCAGGCCTCCGTGCTACGGATGACAACCCGGTGGTGGCCACATCGCGGGACTTCACCCTGACGAACGATGCTCCCGGTGTGGGTGTAACCCCGGCCCCGACCCTGGCGGCGGATGTGCCCTCCGGCCCGATGCCGGGGAATATCCGCAAGGCTCGCCACTTCCTCGGAACACTGCTGCGTCTTCTGGAGTACCTGAAGGTTCATACAAGACACATGGACATGCTATTGGCCCTTTGGCTGTTCTCTTTCTTGTTCTGGCCATGCGCCGTGTTGTCCTGACACCTCGATGCTCCTCCCCGGGCCCGGCCCTCCCTCGACGCAGACTCGGCTGGTTTTGTCTGATGTGCTGATCGAGACACCAGGCCAGTTTATCGAAACCCTGACGAGCAGCATCCGCACCGAGCGCCGGTCCCTGCGGTACGTGTGAATCACCCTTTCCTGCATTCTCCGGGCCCGAATCTCGGCACTCACATGTCACGCCTTTCCTTGATCTCGCTCAACAGGTTCGTCCACTCGCGTCTCACATCGTTGATTCGCGCGCTCGAGATGCCAGTCTCGCATAGTGGGGCCATTGCCCACTTGGAGCGGGTGGCTTCCTTTGCCACGCTGGCGGCCACCTACGAATCGGGCTTTTCGCTTGTCTTTGAACCGGGGGGCTTCATGCTCGGTGGTTCGGCGGCCCTTCTCCGGCGGACGGGCGGGGCCACGGCAAACTCCGTGTTTGCCGGACTGCCTGGGATGCCGCCGACTGGCGCGGCCGCGCATGACAACCGCGCTCCAGGGTGGGACACGGTTCTGCACTTCTCGTACGTCTGAAGATCCCGATGCATTGTCGCCCTTCCCCCCCTCCCCCCCTCCCCCCCCGGCGAGTTGTGCTCTGACGCCCGCCCCTTCCTTCGTTGCTCCTCCTGGAACGTGCCAGCTGCCTTGACCCATCGATTGCGATGCAGCCAATTTTCCGCCGCTTCTCCAGTGTGATTCTCACGTCCGGCACCCTCACGCCTCTGGGAATGTACGAGTCGATTCTCGGCTTCCGGGCGGTGGTGACCGACAGCTTCGGGGCCACCCTGCCGCGAGAGTGCTTCCTCCCGATGGTACGCAGAGTGTCTCGGCATATCCCCATCCGCATTCCGTCCGGGGGGGCCCGCATGACCGGAGACCGAGCTCTTGGCCCTTTCCTCTGCCCACCTCGATCGATCTCCGATGTCCTTGGTTTCCTGGCCATTTGCTGACCCACGCTCGTGTGTCCCTTGTCCCCCCTCCCTGCCCCTCCCTGCCCCTCGGCCTGGTTCAAGGTTGTCACTCGTGGCAGCGATCAGTTGACGGTGTCGACGCAGCACAGCAAGCGTCACGATCGGGCGGTGATTGCCAACTTTGGCAAGCTGCTGCTGGACATCGCGCGCTGTGTGCCCGACGGCATTGCGGCCTTCTTCCCTTCGTACGGCTACATGGAGCATGTGCTGTCCGAGTGGAATCGTCATGACGTCCTTGGTGCCTTGCTGGCCACTACAAAGCTGATTTTCGTGGAGACGCCCTGTCCGGCGGAAACGGCCCAGGCACTTGCGAACTATCGCTTGGTACGGCGTTTCCGCCATGTCTCAGCCTCCCTGCCTTGCCTTGGCCCTCTTTGTCTGCTCTCCGGGCAACTCCCGTGGTCCTTCTCTGACATGCTTCCTGGCACTTTTTTTTTCCCCCGCTCCACGCAGGCGTGTGACAATGGCCGAGGGGCCATTCTGCTGGCGGTCGCCCGTGGCAAGGTGTCCGAGGGCATTGACCTGGACAATCATTATGGACGGGCGGTCATTGTGTTTGGCGTGCCCTTCCTCCACACGGAGAGCCCGGTGACCAAGGAGCGCCTGGCCTTCCTGCGCCAGGAACGACAGATTTCCGAACGCGAGTTCCTCACCTTCGACGCCGTGCGTCAGGCGGCCCAGTGTGTGGGTCGAGCCATCCGCGGCAAGACTGACTACGGGCTGATGATCTTCGCGGACTATGTACGTCTGTGGATGCTTCTTTGCCCCCTTCGGGCTCTCTCCTCTCTTTGCCCCCCTCCTCGCGCACATGTCACGAGCAAGCCGCCACCCTCCATGTGCCCTCAATTGCCCGTCACCTGACAGGATCCTCCCATTCCCCTTGATAGCGATACGATGATGATAAGCGCCGGCGTCTGCCTCGTTGGATCAACAGCGCCTTCCACCGGGACTCGGTCAATATGTCCACAGACATGGCGGTCACCATGGCTAAGCGCTTTGTCCGGGCGATGGCTCAGCCGTATGATCGGGTGCGCCTTTTGTCTCCCCTGTTCTTCTCCCCCGCCCCCCCCCTCCCTCCCCCTCCCCTGCCCCGCCCCCTGTCTCTCCCACCTCTATCTGGCTCCCCTCAGGGCGATCTCTGGCTTGCGGGCGAGGCGTCGGTAGTCTCCAAACTGACCTTCCTCTTTCCATGTTTCCCCCCTTGTTTCCTGCGGTCCTCGCCGGAAAAGAACACGGAGGTCGAGAAGTCCCTCTGGACCGGGCAGAAGGCGCAGGCCTTCTTCTCTTCAAACAGCCAGCCCGGCAGCCAAGCCTCTCGGTTGAAGGGGGCGTCGAGTGCATCTTCCGACCAGCAGCAGTCCTCCCGGAAGCGGCCTCACTCAAGCATTGCCGCCGAGCAGTAGCCCATAAAGCCGGTGGCCATGCCTCGGGACAGCGCCGATTGGAGAATTAATTCAAATACATTAACTTGGCATATACGTTGGCAACCTATAATTCCCAGGCTCATCTCCGCGGATGGCCCCCTTCCCTGTTATACATACGCGCGCGCGCGCGTTTCTGGCGGCGACTCTCTGGACATCCTGGCGCGAGACCCAAGCGATCGGGGTACCCTCCGACATCCCTGCGCGAGAGGGACACCTGTGCATGTGTGTGTGTGTGTGTGTGTGTGTGGGGCGGGGGGGGGGGGGGGGGGGGGGGGGGGGGGGGGGGGGGGGGAAAGAGTGGGGTACGGGCGGAAGGGTGCCCGCCCAGTCAAAGAGGAATCAAGCTGTGGACACCGCCCCGGGGCTGTCTCGCCTCCGCTGACACGCCGAGTGTCGGGGTGGGTGCTTGCCCTCCCCCGCCCTCCCTGGGTGTCTCTCGCTCTCGCTCTCGCTCTCGCGCGCGCCAATCGAGGGGGGGGGGGGGGGCTCATGTCGATATGTGGTGTTCGTGTGCATTCATGTGCGTGAATGTATGCGTGTCCGCTCGGCCTTCGGGTGCAGGTGGGGGAATGTGCCGGTGTGGGAGGCGGGCTCGATTTGCGCCGGTAATGTCTGTCTACAGCCTCCCCCTCCCCGGGCCTGGAGGCCGTTGAGAGAAAAAGAGGGCGTACCCAGTGGGAACGGCCGTCTCCTGCCTCTCAAGCATATGCCAGTTTCTGTTTCCCCTGCTCTTCCATCTGCCTGCCCGTTCCTGCTTTCACTGCTTGCACCCCCTTCCTCTTTGCATATCTAGTCCACCACCCGACTTTCCAGGGTTCGGCTGTCGTGGAGTGCCCTGCCGCCATGACGTCCAAGGATGTGGCCACATCGCGAACGCCAGTGCGACAGCGGCAGCGCCCACGGGCTGATGTCGCAAACCCAATGCAGCCCCAGGCCTCCGCCACCTCCTCGATGCCCCCTGTCAAAGCTCCCAATGAGGGCCTCCAAAGCGAGTGCCCCTCGCCAGCCACGCGGGTCCTCGGAAGGGGCGTGCCGGTGGCCGTGCCGGCCGGTCCGAAGAATCCGGTGCGCGACCGGCGCATCTGGGTCGATTGGGTCCTAGAGCTGGCTTTGGTGCTGTTTGCCTTGCCATTTCGCACTCGGGGCTTTGCCTTTCCCGGGTCGGTGGTGTGCGTTCCTTTTTTTTTCTTCTTTCCCCCTTTGTATCGCACCCGGGCCCATGGGTGGCTACACACTTGTCCCTCTTTGCCCAAGCAGCTTGCCTGCTGACTGCCCCTGCTCGATTGCCCTTCCAATGCTGGGTCGTGTGAAGTTTCGATGAGCTGCACTTCACCCGCATGGCTCGGGACTACCTCACCGGATGGTTCCATCTGGATGTCCATCCGCCCTTTGGCAAGATGTTCCTGGCCTATGCCGGCCACTGCCAAGCGCGCATTGTGCATTTCCTGTCGCAGATCGGGCTCACCGGCTTTGTGGACGCCTGCGCGCGCTGGGCTGGATTCCCGCGTTTTTCCGCGGCCGCGGCCGCACTGGAGCCCCTCGGCGATGTGACCCGGCACCTTGGCAGCCTGGAGCAGATTGGCTCGCACTTTTCCCCAGAGCCAACATACTACGTGGGAATGCGGTGCGATTGGAGGAGTAGAGGTGGTGGTGGTGGTGGTGGTGGTAGCAGTGGTGGTGATGACGGGCGGGGGAGGCGCCGAGGCCCAGCTGGAGGAGCATTGTGACATTGCCGGGCACTGACATTGTCCCCCTGCTCTTTGTGGCAGCCTGCTGAGCGTCATTGTCGGCGTCGGGCTGCTTCCCTTGCTCTTTAAGTCGCTGCGTATCCAGGGTGTCGGTCGGCCGTTGGCTGTCTTCATGGCCCTGCTGCTGATGTTCGGTGCGTCTTTGTGGTTCATGTAGCCCGATGCCAGGGTCTAGCTGCTTGGGATTGAGACGGTGCTGACGCGGCTTTGGCACCACTCGACAGAGTCCTCCTTCGAGGTGCAGTCGCGCTTTGCCTTTTTGGATTCGCAACTCATCTTCTGGTGTGGCTTTGCCTGGTACTATTGGATCCGTTATGAAACTCGCTGTGATGGATTCCTCCAAAGCATGGCAGCGGAGTTGCGCAACTCCGACACCGAAGCACGCTGCGAGCCCGGGCCCCGGGTGCATGCATCGCTTCTCGGGTGGCAGGGCCGTCTGCCGGAAATGGATATCATCTATTGCGGAATTCTCCTGGGTCTGGCGTGCAGGTGCGCTCTCTGTCCTCCCCTCCCCCCCCCCCCCCCCC